ATGACTTGCTTTCTGTCACTACTTTTCCACAATTTCTTCCTCTTGACTAAAGCGTTTTGTGGAAGCTGGACTTGTAGCCCTTTCCTGCTTTATCTTCTCGTCACTTCCAAATGCATGACTGTCTTAGTAAGAAAAAAGTCTTTAAGCTCAAAATAAGACATCAGTTTATGTGATCACTTAGTACAGTTTGACTTTTTTTTTAAGAACTTCTTTCATTTTCAGTTGCCAAGTTATGCAGCAGTGTGCCAGAAATTGGTCAGATGGAAGTACTAATACAGTGGTTACAGGATTAATGTTAAATCTAGTATCTTCAGTACAGTAGCCACGAGGTCTTGTCTATGGCGACTGTATAATCTCTGGCAAGTCTTAAACCTGTTTGTAAAATGCTACTTATTGTTTCTCTTTTACAGTGAAAAAGAAGATGATGAAAGTGAAAAGAGAGAAGAACCCGGTGACAGCTGGGAGGAGACTGGTGGTGGTGTAGACAGATCATCTGGTCCTTGGAACAAGTCAGCTCCTGCACCAGCACCTGTCGTTGAACCAATTGGTAAATTTAACTCCAAGTTGTTGCTTTTTCCGATCAGAAGTGTATCAGGTTGGATTAAGCTGCTCAGAGGCTAGAGCTCAAGGAGTAGTTCCTATTCAGGCACCTTCTAGCATACTGATGGCTGTTTGACATGCTAGCAAATGAGGAAATTTTCCTGTGAAGGGATCTGAGGAACTGAATTGATAGTACTGTCAGGTACTTTAAATAAACGCACATGGAGGGGGTTTTATATCTGACTTTGAAGGGGTGGGAGGATTCCGTCTTTGAAGGAGATCCCTCTGCTTTGCAATCTGCAAGATACCAGTTGGAAGCATTTCTGTTGATCTAAAAGTACTGCTTTGACAATTAAGTGGATGTTCAGCTGATATCTGAGATCTAATATGGCAGTTCTTGAGTAGGGTTCCATGGTTAGTAGTACACTTTTCAAATCAGTTCTAGGGTACAGACAACGTGACATTGCAAAATTGATTCTTTAACTGGGATAGGACTTTGGTTTAGATTAAATACAATTTATTAGCATCAGCAGACATAAAGTACTGAACAGTCTGAACTCAGATCATGGCTATTTCATTGAAAAGTGGCCTGCTGTGTCTTTTCTTGTTTGTACAGGCAAGGAGGTAAAGTTAATGCATCAGTCAGTGTTATTTTATTGTAGATGGTTATCTTAAATACAAACTACTTGGTTATTCTCTTCTGCAGCTGGAGAGATGCTTTAAATAAGATTTGGCAAATATATAAATATGTGTTTAAATCTCTAGTTTTAAATGTAAGCTACTAATAAATTGTAAATAAGAAACATGGAAGTCGTCTTCAGTGGTTTTGATTCCCCAGACTTTTGTGAGGCAATACACTGGAGCCACATTTTAATTTGACTACTAAGTATAAGTTAAATTAGGTGACACCTGATTTCCTGCCTTGTCTGAAATACTTGCTTCCAGAGCTTCAAAAGGTGCAAAAACATACTTGTAAGATTTTTATTTGTGTGTTTTTTGAAGGCAAACTTATGAATGCAAACTTTCTCTCTTGTTCTTATAACTAGTTACAGAAACCCCAGAACCAGTTCAGACTGGTGGTGTATACAGGCCGCCTGGTGCCAGGGAGGGCGGCAGGCCACGGAGAGCACAGCAAGGACCACCAGAGATCTATAGTGATACGCAGTTTCCATCACTGCAGTCCACCGCCAAGCTTGTAGACAGTCGAAAGTAAGTACATTCCATTAATTCCCTGAGAGACGTTTTAACTGCCTGCTCTAAGTTCTTATGTTGTTTTAGGGCTTAAGCCTGAATCTTTCCACAGAGGAAAGAAATAACTAAGACATTATTCTGTTTGGCAAGGAGGCGCAGGAGAGGTCTTAACTGTATTTTCCAAATCTAGGAGGGGCTTCCCATGCAATAGCTTTGATAGGACATGGCCCAGCAAGATAGCCAAACAAGGCTGCCAGTTACCTTATCTTTGAATTGCTGAAGGATTTCCCTCAAGCAGAATATTTCTGCTCTTGACAGCATCTGGTTCCCAGAGATACTAGCCGCGGGGAGGCTCTGTGTTACTGCTGTCAGTAGACGTGAGCAGGATGCCTTGAGCACACTGCCTTCTCATTAGAGATATGAAGGTAACTTAAATGGAGGAATGGGGTTTAATATACAAATACAAATCAATAAACTTGCTATCTGGGCTGTGGTTTACAACGATGAGCCCCCCCAATTTTGCTGAAGTGTTTTGTATTTTGTGGTGCTGAAGACTTGATTCTCGCCCCACTTTTGAGTCCTGATCTTTCCATAACCTCATTCCCTACAGAAGCAATAGCTAGGCCAATACCTAAATCACTTGGGTTTTTTGTTTGGGTTTTTTTTTCTGCTTGCTGTGTTACTGACTAATACAGCCTAGCAGCAGCTTTGTTTCTTCTGGGTTTTTTGGTGTGGCTTTGTCTGCTTGGAGAATGAGACATGCTGTCATTGATCCTTTAGGGCTTGAATGGTGCAAACTGAGCTAAGACTAAATTCTGTGAATGTTTTAGAAATGTACTTCTGCTTTTTAAAACCTATTTTTCATAAATGCACTTAAATTTACTTTTGAGAATGTTAATACTGAAACTTAGGATGTAATTTGAATTGTACTGGGTGATGAACTTGATTCTGCAGATAAGGTTTTGCAAGATTTGCTTGGGAGTGTTTGGCTGTTCTGTTAAAACTCTAGGCCTTAGTGTTCTGTGTTCATAATGCTTTTGTTGGGATGGGGTGGAAATCAACTAGAAATTCACTATTCACAAGCTAGTGATAAGATATTTACTGATTACATTTATTTTCCCTTAGGGATAAAGAAATGGAGAAGAGCTTTGAAGTAGTAAAACACAAAACTAGAGGTAGGGATGAGGTCTCAAAAAACCAGGCACTTAAACTTCAGCTAGACAACCAGTATGCTGTGCTTGGGGATCAGTAGAGCTGCATACACAGTACACTTAAGGAATGCTTTTTTGGTAGCCCTTCTACTAAGGTAACTAAACTACAGCTAACGGCTATGATGAACATGCCACCTTATTTCTGCTGGATCTACTGCAGCAAGTGCAGACTGCTTTGACGTAAGTGATTGGTTCTCCTGCACTATGGAAGCATAATATGTCACAACTTCTCCATTGGATATGGGGCAAATTAATGTAAATGATTGAACAAGAGTCATCAGTGTTCTTTAAATGCTCAGAAAGATACCTACAGCCAGTGGTCATTTCAAAATCTTTTTATGTTCAGATACTGAGCCTTCGTAAAGGTTGACTACCTCAGACTTGCTGCACTCATTGTGGACACCATGTGGATCACAACTTCTGGAAGAGAAGGTTACAGCTGTTTTAGTGGCCATCTGAAACTTGAAACCAGCTCTACTGGATTCCTGTCAGAAATCCTGCAGAAGTCAGCCATTTGGTTCCAATTTGCTATAACAAAGATTTAAGTGACCTTAATGACAAAACTATTCTGTTCCCCTTCTGAGGAATCCTGTCATGTCTAGCCATAGCCTACTAGAGACTTCCGGAGCGTACCATACCACTCATACTATCCAAGTATAACAGAGCTGTAGTTGGTTTACCTTTTTAGATAGCTGTACGGAAGTAACTGCAAAACAAATTAAAACTCCTTCAGTATCAGATCTTAACTGATCATCATAGGAATGATGGGTTTGAATGGTCTGTTCGCATTAGCCGTTTTCAGTTGTCTGTTCAAGCATAATTTTTTTTCCGTTCTCCACAAAAAAAACAAAGCCTGCCTCATTTCTGGTATTGCCGTATATTTAAATAATGAGATGTTGTAGTGAAATAGGGTTTATTTTGGGTTTTGTCATGAGCTTTGTCTTTTTCGCCCTAAAGTGCTAAGACTGAAGAGTTTTGATTTGACACAGGTATCCAGACTCCAACTACAGTCTTCAGAATTTCTCCGTCAAAAATGAGATACATGGCAGTAGCGATAGTAGATAAAAATTTCTCCTCTCTGAAAAATAGTTATTTGTTGAAGGGTAATGGTTACTTGATAACCGAAATAACTTAGTATGCAGAGGAATAACTAAAGCTGGTAAGCCTTACTTGTTTGGCTACTTCTGTGAAGCATGCAGGCTTTTTGAGGCAGCAATCCTCTTAAGTAAAACTCATAAAAGGTGTTTATTCAAAGCCAGGAAGTTTAGTAGTAATGGAAGGCAGTGACTTCTTTAAGTTGTCATTATCTCTGACTTAATTTTAATGGAAGCAGGCAAAACAGCACCGATACACTAAGAATATAGGACATTGCCTGTAACTCTGAATTGATGAACGAAACCTGTCAAGTACCAAAAGCATCCTGCTGTAACTGTTTTTCTCTTCTTTGAATTCTGACACCAGAAGCAAAATGAAGTACAATAGTGGCGTGCTCCAGTGTTGAGGTTTCTCAGAGTAAATGCCAAAAATAGACCCAACATCTATAAGAGTTGCCAATGGCAAGAAAAACAAGGGAACAATACACAACTTGCTTATTGTGTGAGAGTACTGTGTATGTGCAGAAGATGAGGATAGTGCAGGAATCGCCTAGTTGGGTTCCCTTTGACTAACTGCTGACTCGCTTTAAATGTACTTCTCTGAGGCCAATGGGAATTTTGCTGTTGACTTCAGTGGGGCTGGGGTTTCACCTGGTTCTTTTGTGCACAGACTAAAACTGGCCTTGCCCTTGCAGAGTTAACTGTCTCTAAAACTTCTGCTAGAAGCTGCTATTAAAGAGAGGGCTCGAGACTGTTCTTAAAGTTGGAGACTTCATTTGGAAACAAAACCCCACTGAAAGACTGATTCCAATCCCTTGGACTCTGAGCCATGTATCTTCCTTGAAAATATGTTGTTGCCAGCAGAACTGTTGATTTGTCACTAAAGATTTCTGTGGTATTCACGGTAAATGGACAGGTCACTTGATGTGGTAGAAACGTACAATCTTAAAACACTTTTCCTGATGCTCTGAAGCAATTGAGATCGCCAATGCACATGAATCAAGTTTTAGTCTACTGTATGAAGGGTAGATGAGACTGTCCATTGTACCGTCTTTATTTGAAGTTTTGGGCATGAATTCTGGCAGTTCAAGAAAACCCTGTAACAGTTTCAAATCAAATAAAATGGAAATATACATGGATTCTGGAGTCTAATCAATCTTTACCTTTAGTTCTAGCTTATGACCATACAGCAGGTGGGGAAATGCGGAGCATTTGGATCTCTTGAGGGACAGGCCACGGAGTGGGCAGTCAGCCTTATGGTTAGGTGGGCTGTGTTTAAGAGCTTATAGCAGTGCATATTAATATGGCTTATATTTATATAGAGAAGTTTAGTTTGCTACCTGTCAGAGTGTCTTCTTACTCCCACCATATAGGACTGGTTTGAGATTGTGAACTGAGTATGAATGAAGCTTTGATTTGCTTTTCACTTGGAAGTAGCTCTGCTAAATTAAAGAATGGACGGGGGGGAAAAAACCCACCCACGAAAAGCCTCTGGATGGTTGCTGTCAGTAGAATCCCTCAGTTACTGATAACTAGAGGTGTTATTTTGGGGGCCCTTAAGCGTATCATTCCAGGTTCTTTCTGGAGGCACAAAGGAACAAAATGAGAAATGCAGCAGATTTCCATAGTACAGAATGTTAAACTACTTCAGTGTTTTGTGTTAAATATCACTGCCAGCAACTATCAAAACGCCAGTTGTCAGTATCTTCCTTGTAACAATAGTTCTGCATGCCTGAAACTTTGAAAGTCAGTCCCCTGTGGAAGCTCAGTATGCTTTTGAAACTCTGAAGTCCAACTTTATCTGGTTTGTTGTTGCATTCATCCAAGGCATGCCAAGAATGTCCATTTCATTCCTTCAGAATGCTTGTTGAAGGCTTATTCCATAAATGAAGGATTGTCAGTTGTAGAAATGAGATTCTTGATACCAGTCAGTAAAACGCAGTTGTGTGCTGCTTCAGGAACTCCCTAATCTGTAATATGCTTTGATGGTGGGTGAGTTATTAATTTCCCATTTAAAGATTCCATTTTACTTTCTCTGGCTTAAAATAAAAACACAGTTGCTAGTAGAACATAGAGATGTTCAGTACTTACTGGGAAAGGAACAACTTGGATTTGTGGTTCTTGGTGATAAAGTCTGTATTTAAGGAATGTTAAAATGCCAACACCTAGATAATTTTAACAATGTTGGACTTCCCAAATGCCCGCTGTAGGAATCTGGCATCTGTATTTGCTTGAGCTGATGATAAATGTAGGAGAGGATTAGTTTTGCCTGCCTCCCCACCCTGGTTTAGCTGTGCCATGTTTAATCTTATTCACAAATGAAGAAGAATTGACAACTGAAAGCGACTGTCTCCTGCTACTCCAGTTTTGTCTTTGTAGCTAGCTTTACCAGTCATGCCCAAAGTAACTCTTGCAAAACTTAACAAATAGATGGACTTTTAATGGTACAAACTGTGGTAGAGACCTGACACCACAGGGACAAGGGGTTTTGGCATTTGCCTCTGTTGGCTCTTGGAAACTCCTACACCACAACATGGCTGAGAGACCTGTGCTGTTTAGGTCAAGTAAACACTATAAATTTGATAGGGCTGCACACCTTGGAGTTTGCTTATCTGAGCTTTTGCAGTAGTTGTATCTTTTTGTCTTTCTAATTTCAGCCTGGTTAGTCAGTTTTAAACTTGCTTGTGGTTTTTCTGTCAAATACCATAACTAAAATGGAGCAGACGATTCTTTTTTAGACTAATAGGGCTTCACGTGCTTAAAAGGTGCTTATTTACAAGGTAGTAATATTCTTTCCAATATTGACGTGGTCAGAGAAGTTAATACCTTGTATTTTACATGACCAGTTTGTATCAGAGGCCCAAGAAACTAAATTTTACCAAAAACATGAGTGTTAAAAATCTTTATGAATGGCCACAGTCCAGGCTTCATTGCCTGACTGTGATTTAGTTCCCAAATTGTCCTCTTCTGTTTTCAGCTTCTAATTTCACAAATTGGTTTTAATGGTAAATAAGTGCTTTATTTGGGAATATAAGAAAATAATAACATGCATATTTGAATTTCAAATATATTAATTAGGTATGTACAAAGGACGAGGAGATCTGACACACATTTGCTGATAAATTCTTTAGAAAAAGTTAGAAAGTCAGCTTGTCTGTATCGAGGTTAATATGAGAACCTCCAAGCTCTGACAGATGGAAGAAGAAATGGCAGCAGAAAACAGAACTGAGGAGTCTTAACACCGATTTGGTTAAGTCGTAACTATCATGTATGTACTCATGCTTCTGAAGCACCGAGTGTAGTTCCACCATGTTCTGTCTGAAGTGAAATAGAACAGGAAGGAAGATTTTATTTTTTTAAAAAAATGAGAGTGGAAATTATGCAAATAAAACCCAGGAGGTATAAGAAGAGACGGATTAGGAAGGCTGTTTTCTAAGTGATAGTATTAAATGCATATCCTGAGGTAGGGAGTGGAGTGTAAGTGGTTGGATAGGAGAAGTGCTGCGTGGGTAAGCAGGGCTTTCACAAGTGACAGCTCCCCCTGACTTTAGATCAGCAAAAGTGTTTGAAGTTCAGTACTTGGGGAAGGCGTCCCATTTTATTTTTAACCTTTAAAGAAAAGAATCTGGAAAACCTGCCCAGAGAGAAGGTAGAATTTTGCATTGGTACAAAGCTGTCTAACTGGTTGCCTAAAGAGAGAACAGAGAAAGGCCAAATTCCAAGATAGTTCAGCAATCTTACTAGGAAATAACTTGTTTCATACTTAAGAAAACTCTTAATTCACTTGCGCATAATAAAAAGCCAAGACACTGATTCAAATTGCTATGAAGACATTGTCCTTTTTTTTTTTTGTGAAGCATCTTCTAATGGTATGTATGGCATGGGTTTACGTTCACTTGCTTGGAATTATATGCTGATAGAGCAAGGTTAATGAAGTTCAATGGGCTGCTTAGCCAAAACACAAATACTAAAAATGTATCACAGTATTAATGAATCGCCAGAAAAAGCAGTGCATCTGGAATACCGGCATGGGGAGTATCATCTAAAACAACTGCACGTGCTGAAAAGAAGCAGGCCTGTGTTGTAGCAAGAGCATAGGACCAAGGGAGTGGGATTTGACCTTGGTTTTCCACTGAGCTGCTGTGTTAACTTCAAGTAATTGAGTTTCATTTGGCCTCGGTTTTCCCCAGCTGTACCAAAAAACCCCAACAACCTACCTCACAGGGGTGTTGTGAGGCCAAAGCTGCTGTTTGTCAAGGGCTGGGGGAATGTGCTACAGGGGACTAAGAATCTTTATTAGAAGATCTTTATATTAGCTTTCATGGCAGTATTTTAATACTACTTTGGGAAAGGCTTATTTCTACAGAATGTAATAAACACTCTATTTAAATATTATGTAATTAGGCTTATCTTAGCACATATGGGTAAGGAAAAAGTTCAGGCTGAGCACTCTGACTGGTATCTCCTCTCTTTAATTATCTGTGCAACCCAAATGGCATATTAATATGAGGCTTTTTGGTTTTATGTGGAATACATTAAAATCAATATTGCTATATTTTGTAAACCCCATGACTGAAATAAAATCCTGCTCACAGTTGATAGCCATCTCTTAACAACGTGGCTGTTTTAAAGTTCGTTCAAAGTAGGTGAACTAGAAATGTTCACTCCTGAAAGTATGTGTTTGTGTCAGCATGCCAAGTGGTATTTTGTAGTAGGAACATAGTTTTCTTCCATCTCCATGTGTAAATACACATTGGTTCTTCTTTTCATCCTTTTGCATATTTAAGTTGAAGCAGCATGCAGGTACAAGGGAAATCTGGGAGACAGAGTAGTCTTAACTTCAAAACTTTACAAGTCTGGTACTACGGTAGGCTGGAGGAAAAAGATGAAGGGAATAAACCAAAGGGAAATAGCTGCCCATGGAGAGGTTTCTGTGAAATGGACAAAGGAACGGAATGATCAGAAGATGGAGCTGAGGGGGGTAAGCAGAGGGGATAGGTAGAAGAGGAAGGAACGCAGGTACAGAAGAGGTGATTGCCCTATTTGCTGTTATCTCCAGTTTTATCAGCTAGCTGCAGCTGAAGGAACACGAAGAAATAATTTTGATGAATATGCCCTTGTCTACTGTTGCTGGTGATTTCACGATTCATCGCTCAGCTTTTACAGCGGGCCTCCAAATAGAAGCAGAGAACACGGTGGTGGCATGTGTGCAGGCAAATTGGACCTCTGGTGGCTCCTGGACAGAGATGAGGCCCAGCAGCTCCACTCTCTTACTGATACTTTTATCATTGTAGCACCTCTAAGAGAGTTGTTAATGTGCGTCAGCCGTGACAATCCTCTGTCAGCAATGATTACTGTTAAATTTCAACAAACTATTGCAGTTGCTTCAGAGGCAATGTTTAACTGGCTGAATGGCAAGCATGAAAGAATAACACAGGGGGCTTTTTGGAATCCTTACCATGATGATGACAATGAGCGATGTCGAGGTCAACAGATTGGTGGGTGGCTTATAATGACTTTGAGGTATATATCCTGTTCTGTGGTGGGGAGGGGAATTGCTTTTAAGATGTGTGTCATCTGTTCTTTTCCCATCCTAACAAATGAACTACCTTGGTCTTACTGTCTTTCAGCTACAAAGAGCTGCTTCTACCATTCTCTTACCGTTTTCCTCCCTGTGTTTTTCTAATGTGTCACTCTTTCTAAGGTGCTGATGAAACAGCAAATACTCATTGAGGACCTGTAAGAGAAATACATGCTGTAATATTTTTCCATATTGTTCTGTCTTTAATACAGCCTAACATCTTATTCGCTTTCTTGACTGCAACTACACATTGAGCAGATGTCTTCATCGAGCTGTCCCCTGGTGATGCCTAGATCGTCCCCTTGAAAGATCACAACTAATTCAGAATCCACCAGAACATGTATGAGTGGTTTAAAGCCTTTCCAGTATTCATTGCCTTGGGTTTGTTTTCTGTTGACATTCACTTGCCACTGAATTGCCGAGTTTACAGAGTTAGCCAGCCTACCCTGGCAATCACCATCTCCCCCAGTGCTGACAAACTCCGTAACTATCTGTGGGCGTTGGCTTTTGCCATCCAATATACTGAAGTCTTCAGTTTCACGTGTATAATTCACTCTTCTTACCAGTGATTAGCATGGCATGCTCTAACTAACGTTTACTCAACCTGACCTTTTCTGTTCTGTTTCCTGTCTCTGACCTCCTGTACTGAATTTTCTTTCTAGCTCAGTTACAGCATTGAAGTCATCGAGTTAAAACTGTCTGCTTTATTTGAAATAATTCACTGCTGGAAAACTGTGAGTTAAGATGTTGTCATAAGCTTCCTTTTTTAATTAAAACAAATCACTTACTTATTCTGTATCTTTTTCAGAGTATGTACAACCATAACAAAATGATTCAAACCATAAAAACAGGCTGATAAAAGAGAACAAATGCAGTGAGAGACAGGTAAAACATACATGAATCTGATCTCCCAGAGCCTGGCTTCATTGGGTTCAGTGGAGTTACTTCTGTCACTCGAGATCAGTTTCATTAAGACTTGATTTGAGATCTTCT